CCCGCTCCGCCGCCCCGGCCGCGCCCCGCGCACGCACGCGGCGCTGATTGGCCGAGCGGCGCGGCGCGGGGCACGCCCACCCACACGCACGCGCCGCCCATTGGACGCCAGCCAGGTTGTGGCCACGCCCACTGAGCGGCGGGAGGGGCTGTGGCCACGCCCACACGCGTCACTCACGGACAGGCCGCCAACTCTTGGCCACGCCTTTATTTACTATGTGGGCGTGGCCTCGGCGAGGGGCGTGGCCACGTGTCCCCATCCCGGTGTCCCGGTCCCGGTCCCGGTGTCCCCACCCCGGTGTCCCCCCCGCTCCCCGGCCCTACCGGGACAACCGGGCCCGGGCAGGTTTTGGCTTGTTTTTTAGGGTTTTTTTTTGGGGTTTTTTGTTGTGTTTTAATAGCCGAAAACATTACAGGGCACCGGGAGCCGCCCCCGGCGCCACCCCCGGCGCCACCCCCGGTACCACCCCCGGTTCTCAGTCCGCCCACGGGGCCCCGGGGGTCGCACCGGGAGGGGGTTTCACGGTTTCCCCCCCGTGCGTCCGTCTGTCCGTCCGTCCGTCCCCGCGGGTCAGTGTGGCATGGCCGTTATCCTCATGCTCTGCGAGGCGATGGGGTAGGTGACCATGGGCGTGGTGGCGTGGCTCATGGTGATGCCGCCGAGCGGCTGCGCCATGGACACGGCCACGGGCGCCACCGACACGGCCACGGGCGCCATGGAGACGGGCGGCGGCGCCATGCCCTGCGCGATGGTCTGCGCCAGCGCCGCCGACAGCGGCGCGATCTCGGGGTTCATGGGCGGCGGCGCGGCGTTGGCCGGCGGGGCCGCCTGCGCGCCCGCCGGCGCCACCAAATCCTGCTGGGTGACGGGGCGGGGCTGCAGGGCCTGGCTGCTGAGCGTGGTGTGCGTCTGGGCGATGCTGTGGTTGTAGTTGGTGACGGCGGGCGCCAGCGGCTGCTCGCCGCCCGCCGCCGTGGAGCTCAGCGTCATCACCTTGGCCTGGTTGCGGAACTGCGCGTTCTGCTCCAGCAGCACCTCGTTGGTGGCCAGCAGGTTGTTGACCTGCTTCTTGAGGTCCTCCACGCGCTTCCTGAGCAGCGCGTTCTCCTCCTCCAGCAGCCGGTACTCCACGGCGCGCGGGCTGCCGAAGGCGTACTCGTAGCCCTCGTAGAGCCCCTCGGCGCGCCGCCGCTTCAGCACCGGCTCGTCGGGCTCGTAGAGGCCGTCGTAGGGCTCGTAGCGGCGCGCGCCGGGGCCCAGCCCCTGCTCGTAGTCCCGCTGCAGGTGCTGGAACTTGCACTTGGCGCCGCGCTGGCAATCCCCCTTGAGGAAGTCCCTGCAGATGGGCACCTCCTCCTTGCTGTTGGGCAGGTCGGCCGGCGACAAGCCCAGGCCGGCCGCCACTTTGTGGCGCAGGCGCGGCGGCAGCTCGCCCGTCTTCTTGTAGGCGTCCTCGTCCTCCTTGGTGCCGTGGATGAAGCGGCAGTTGAGGCGCACGCACTCCTTGTTCTGGAAGTCGTGGCAGAAGATGAACTCGTTCTTGCGCACGCCCAGGTTGGTGACCTCGGAGATGTCGGGGTGCCGGAAGCGGCAGCGCTTGCCGCGCTTGCAGACGTTGCGCAGGAAGTCGCGGCAGATGTCGTCGTCGGCGCACGGGGACGCCTCGTCGCCGCTGCCGCCGCCGCCGGCGCCGGCGTAGGAGTCACGGTCCGGCATGGCGCCGGGAGGGGAGGCGGCTGCGGGGACAGGGAGGGAGGGAGGGAGGCGTCAGGGAGGGAGAGGGGATGGGGGGAGTACCACCCTGAGGGGAGAGAGGGAGGGAGGGACCGGGTGAGGGAGGGAGACACAGAGAGAGGGAGGGAGGGAGGGAAGGAGGGAGGGAGAGGGAGAGTCCCACCCAGGAGTACTGGGAGAGAAGAAGGGACCAGGTGAGGGAGGGAGACACGGAGGGAGGGAGGGACAGGGAATGGGGGAGTCCTGTCCTGGGAGGGAGAGAGGGAGCAGAAATGGGGGAGTCCCACCCCAAGAGATCACTGGAGGAGGGGAGAGAGAGGGACAGGGGAGGGAGGGAGGGAGGGCAGGGAAGGGCAGGGAACAGGGGGAGTGCCACCCTGAGGTACCGGGAGAGAGGGAGGGACTGGAATCGGGACTCTGGGAGGGGTCACCGGAGGAGGGAGGGAAGGAGAGACCAGGAATGGGGAGACTCCCACCCCGGGGTACCGGGAGAGAGGGAGGGACCGGGAATGGGGGGAGCCCCACCCCGAGGGGTCACCGGAGGAGGGAGGGACTGGGAGGGACCCCGGTACTGATGGGGAGAGGCTCCGCACCCACCCCGGGGCACGGGACCCGCTCGGCGCCGCTTCCGGGGCGGCCCGGAAGGACCCGCGCGGCCCGGCGCGCCGGAAGCGCGTCACGGTGACGTCACCGCAGCGAGCCGCCGGCGCGCCGCGTGGGCGATACCGGAAGTTCCCGGTTCCGGAGCGAGCCCGGTTCGTGCTCACGGCGGCGTTACCGGGGGTTCCTCACTCCGCTCCTGTTACCGGAGGAACCCCCGCCCCGGCCCCGCTACCGGAGGATCCACCGCGCTGGCCCCGTTACCAGAAAATTCCTCCCGGTCCCACCCACCTGCTCCGTTACCGGAGGATTCCCGGTGCCGCTCCCCGATTAAGAGAACGCGCGGTTCTGGCTGTCTCCTGTCCGTGCGGGCCCGGCCCGGGGCTCTCACGTACCTGCGCATTCGCTTCTTGCGCCACTGCGGGGAGAGGGAGAGAGACACCAGTGACACCAGTACAAACCAGTACACACCAGTATAAGCAGTGCCCACCAGTACAAACCAGTGTCTCCCAGTGCCCACCAGTGATCCCGGAACTCCCAGCATCCCCCAGTGCTCCCAGTGCCCACCAGTATCCCCAGTACCTACCGGTGCCCCCCAGTGGAACCAGTGCCCACCAGTGCTCCCAGCACTCCCAGTCCCACCAGTGCTCCCAGTACCACCAGTGCCCACCAGTACCAACACTGTAACCAGTACCGCCCAGTGCCCACCGTTGTACACCAGTATAACCAGTACCTACCGGTGCCCCCCAGTGGAACCAGTACCCACCAGTGCTCCCAGTGCCACCAGTGCTCCCAGTACCCACCAGTGTCCCCCAGTGCTCCCAGTGCCCACCGGTGATCCCAGCACTCCCAGTCCCACCAGTGCTCCCAGTGCCACCAGTACCCACCAGTGCTCCCAGTGCCCACCAGTGTAACCAGTACAAACCAATGTAACCAGTGCCTCCCAGTGCCCACCGTTGTACACCAGTATAACCAGTAACACCCAGGGACTCCCAGTGCCCCCCAGTGTTCCCAGTGCCCACCGGTGATCCCAGCACTCCCAGTCCTACCAGTGCTCCCAGTACCCACCAGTGCCACCAGGTCTCCCAGTGCTCCCAGTACCCACCGCTGCCCACCAGTATAACCAGTAACCCCCCAGGACTCCCAGTGCCCACCAGTAGACACCAGTGCCACCAGTGCTCCCAGTGCCACCAGTGCCCCCCAGTCCCACACTGTTTTGTCTCTCCCAGTCCCCACCAGTCCCATACTGGTTTATTTCTTCCAGCGCCCCCAGTCCCATACTGGTTTGTTTCTCCCAGTGCCCCCAGTCCCGTACTGGGTTACTTTTCCCAGTGCCCCCAGTCCCACACTGGTTTCTCTCTGCCAGTAACCCCAGTCCCACACTGGTTTCTCCCAGTCCCAGACTGGTTTAGCTCTCGGTTTCCCAGTCCCAGACTGGTTTCTCTCAGTTTCCCGGTCCCAGACTGGTTTCTCTCAGTTTCCCAGTCCCAGACTGGTTTCCCTCTCCCAGT